CAAAGACTAGGCTGCAGTATTTGCATTCAGAAGTGCTGAGTGGATGATCCATTTTGGCCCCCTCCTGAGGTCCCGAGCATCACAGACTCCTGTCTCCCAACTAATGCAATTCATTCTATGTGATGTCAAGAAACAGCTAAAGGCATTGAACGTTTCAAAGGCTGATAACCCTGACAACATTTCAGCATAGTATTGAAGATTTGTGCCCCAGAACTATCTGTGTTCTCTAGCCAAGATGCTCCAGTACAGTTACAACACTGGCAGCTATTTAAATGTGGAAAACCACCCAGGTATGTAGTGTGTCCACAAAAGCAGAACAAATTCAACCTGGTCAATTACAGGCCTACCTACCTCCTTGTGAACATTAATAAAGTGATGGAAGGAGTCATTGACAGTGCTAGCAAGTGGCAATATCAAAGGAATAACCAGCTCACTGATGTGCAGCTTTTGTTCCACCAAGGCCACTTGGCTTATTATAGCCTTGGTCAAATGTTGTCAAAAAAGCTGAAGTCCAGAGGTGAGATGAAGCAAAACATCAAGGCAGCATTTGACTGAGTGAGGCATCAAGTACCTGCTATGCTCCAATGAAAAAAGTCTCAGCCTTTCTTTATAACTCAAACCTTCCATACCCGGCAACATCCTGGAAAATCTCTTTTGAACCTTCTCCAGCATGATAATATCCTTCCTATAATTGAGCATCCAGAACTGGACACAGTATTCCAGAAGAGACCTTATCAATGTCCTGTATAACATCAACATGACTTCCCAGCTCCTATACTCAAAGGACTGAGTAAGGAAGGCAAGCATGCTACATGTCTTTTTAAACACCCTGTCTATATGTGACATAAACTTCAAGGAATTATGTACCTGCACCCCTAGTTCTATACCCTGCACCCTCTGTTCTACAACACTACCCAAAGCCCTACCCTTGTTTGTTGTACCAAAATGCAATACCTTGCATTTACGATTGAACTCCATCTGCCATTTTTCAGCCCATTGACTCATTTGATCAGGATTCCTTTGTAATCTTAGAAAGCTTTCTTCACTGTCTACTATGCCACCAATTTTGATGTCGTCTGCAAACTTGCTAACCATGCCTTCTATATTGTCATCCAAATCATTTATATAAATGACAAACAAAAGAGGACCCAGAACCGATCCCTGTGGAACACCGCTGGTCACAGGCCTCCAGTCCAAAAAGCAACCCTCCACCATTCTTCTCTGTCTCCTGCCATTAAGCCAATTATGTATCCAATTGGCAATCTACCATGCAGAACCTTGTCAACAGCTTTACTAAAATCCAAATAAGCAAGGTTTACTGCTCTGCCATCAACAATCTTTTTGGTAACTTCCTGAAAAAACTTTATCAAGTTTGTGAGACACAGTTTGTGAGACAGAATTTGTGAGAACCCATGCTGTTGACATCACTGCACCTCACCTGTAGTTATAGACGATACAAATATTTCTGCAAGGGGTCTTACAATTTCCTCCTTTACTTCCCACAACATTCCGGGACACATTAGATCAGGTCTTGGAGATTTATCCACCTTTACATTCAATAAGGCCTCCCGAACTTCCTTTCCCGTAATATGAACGGTTTTTAAAACATCAACATTTATTTCTCTGCAGTAAAAACTGATGCGAAATATTCATTTAGTATCTTTCCCACCTCCTAGGGTTCAACACAAAGACAGCCTCCTTGATCTGCAAAAGGTCCTGCCCTTTCTCTAGTTACTCTCTTGATCTTAATGTATTTGTAGAATCTCTTTGAATTATCCTTAACCTATTTGTCAATGCTATCTCACATCCAGTCTTTGCCTTCCTGATTTCTCTCAAGAACGTCCCTATGCATTTATATTGATTAAGAGATTCAATGAACCAAGTTGTCTATAAATAAAACAAGATTCTCTTTTAATCTTGACTAGAACCTCAATACCTTTATTCATGCATTGATCCTTAACCTTACCAGCCTCACTCTTCACTCTAACAGGAACAAAATGCCTGTGAACTCTCGACATCATACTCTTGAATACCTCATACTTGTCAGACATCCTTTTTCCTGCGAAATAGCCTACTCCAATCAATTTTTGAAAATTCTTGTCTCATACTATTAAAATTTTCCTTACTCCAATTAAAAACTTTAACTTTTATGGAAGACTTATCTTCTTCCATAACCATGTTGAAATTAATAGACTTATGATCGCTAGACCCAAAGTGTTCCCCCACTTTTACTTCAGTCACCTGCCCTGTCTTATTGCCCAAAAGGAGATCTAGTTTTGCTCCTTCTCCAGTAGGAGCATACATATTGATAAAGAAAATTTTCGTGAACACATCTGACAATTCTTCAACATCCAAACCTTTAACACCATGGTAGCCCAGTCAATGTTTAGAAAATTAAAACCCCCATTATAACAACCTTACTATGTGATCTCCCTACACATTTGTTTCTCAATTTCCCTCTACTACTGGGGGCCTATAGTACAATCCCATCAAAGTGATTTTTTTCCTTTTTTATTTGTAAGTTCTAGCTACATATTTTCACTGGGACAATTCAGAAATATATTCCCTAGTTACAGCAGCAATGTATTCTTTTAATTAAATTCCACCCCACCCTTCTTTTTTGCCTCATTTTCTATTCTTCCTGTAGCACCCAAAACCTGAAATATTGAGCTACCAGTCTTGTCCTTCTCTCAGCCATGTTTCTGTAATAGCTATTACGTCCCAATCCTATGCTCTTAAACATGCCTGAGCTCACCAGCCTTAACTGTAAGACCCCTTGCATTGAAATAAATACAATTTAGTTCTTTAGAGTTACTACGTACTCTGACTGCCTCGTCTTTCTTTTCTAATTGACATGCTTCCCTCACATTCAGAACCTTCCCCATCAATCCTTCTATTTACACTGCTACTTAGAATTCCTCCTCTCTCTTTCTCTCGCAGAATACAGTCTTCTTTAATGGAATGAGCAAATCTACCTGCTAAGATATTGGTCCCTTTCCAGTTTAGGTTAGTCCCATCCTTTTTGAACAGGTCTTTTCTATCCGAAAAGACATTCCAGTTATCCAAAAACCTGAATCCCTAAACAATACACCAGTTCCTCAGCCATTGATTTATCTCTTTTAACCTTTTGTTCCTTCCCTCATTTGAGTCTGGGGTTGGGAACAAACCAGAAATTACTACTTCCAACCTTCTATTTTTTAATATTCTACCTAAGCTCTTAAATTCACTCTGTATTGCTTTAACCTTTTCCCTAAAAATGTCATTCTTACCAATGTATCCAATAATTTCTGGCTTCTCAATTTCACTTTTAACAATATGCTGGAGGCATCTTGAATCCTAGCACCAGGAAAGCAACAAACCATCCTAAATTTATGCTCACTGCCACAGAATCTCCTGTCTGTGTCCCTGACAGAAGAATCCCCTATAACAATAATTCTATTAAATCTTGTGAAACGCTGCCCAACATAAGAATCGTTCCAAGTGTCCAATAACCGACTGGCCCTGTCATTTTCCTTGGAGACACTATCCCCTTCTATAGTTCCAAAAACTGAAAATCTATCTGATAGGGGAATAGCCAGCGGAGACTTCTGAACTTCCTTCGTACCTTTCCAGACAGTCACCCAAACTGATGTTGCTGTGTAACGATTTTTCTAAATCTACTAGCCATCTCACTCTGTACCTCATACATACCCTTAATAACATTAAGCCTAGAGTAAAATTTTCAATAGCACTTTATATAAAAAATAAACTAACTTTCGTTACCTACAGAAAATGTTAAAATGGAAAAATATAAATCAAATACATAAAAGTTAAATGAAACAACTTAGTTGATTAACTGAATAAAAATGACCACTTTTCACTAAATTCCTTGAAGAACAGAAAAATCTTCAGAGCTGACCACATGTAGGACTCCCCAAAACTAAAACACAACTCCTTATTTAAAAAAAAAAACTGCTTGGTTTTTCATAAAAAAAACCTTGGCAATGTAAAAGAAACCCTCTAAAAATCTTTGCAATGTGAAAAAACCCTCTAAAACAGATATAGACTTTATAAACTTCTGAATTTAGAATTAAAAAACCTCAGCTGTTCACTGTAGACCCTTAAAACCTTTTTTTTTTGCACTTTAATGAAACAAAATGAATAAAAATCTTATATTAGTAAAATATAATGACTGTAAAAACTGTAAATAAAAAGCTATAATAAATCTTTAACTAAGCCTGCAATCCCAGGAGCAGTTGCAAGATCCACGCTGCAGGGAGGGACCAAGGATGGTCCTGCATGGTAACCTCAGCTGGTGTGTGAATTAAAACCATGCTGTTGGCATCACTGCATCACAAGCCAGACATCCAGCCACAGAGTTGCTGATTCACTTGGAAAATCAGAACTGTTACAGCGCAGAAAGGGGCCATTTGGCACATTGCTCCTGCACTGGATTTATTAATTCAGAAGTTACAGCTTACAGCAACTGCTGAAGGAAAGGTTCTTTAAGTTTTTCTTCAGATTTAAACTGAGTTTTTCACTGCAAGCAATAGGCAGCTTCTGGGCTGTGAGAAGATCAGCATACTTCTTCTCTTCTCTCTCTGCAAGTTGGTTCCAGCTCTAAGCTGCTCAGCAACCTGAGAACTAATCACAGAGTTGTTGACAAGCAAATGTTCTCTGTTATTGATAACTGTCAGTACTTCACAGTCCAATCAAACTCAGTGCCAACAACAGCTATATCAGTACACACTCTTGGTTCCAGATCACCTACAATCTGAACTTGATTTACTGCTCATTCAAACAGTTGTTCACAGTGACTGCCATGGGTATCTGGTTACTTGCTTTCAAAGTTGCACCCACTCTTTAAACACTTATTTTAAGAACAGTTCATTTTCACTTAAGTGCACAGCTTTTAAGAACACAAAAATAAAAGGACACGGTCCTTACAAAAGGCAGAGGCATCTCTATGCTTATAAAAATATGCTCCACAACAGAACCCATCACGATATGGTTTGTATTACCTTGTGCGGTCATATCCAAAGATTGCCTTGATATGTTTTGAGATTTCATCTTGTGATTCCCCAGAATCGTCAATGAAGTCATCCATTTCCGAATCATATTCGTCGTCATCCTCCAGCCTCCGCCTATAGGATATAGGTATAGGCGGCCTTGCAGGAGCTACTGCTGCACAGAAACAAAAATAATGCAACTTTACAATGCATACATTGACAATGCCAGTTAATGAACACAGACCAACACATCTCACACCCCCCTACAGATAGACATTTCTTAAGGTCTGACTGATTATTAAATATAGCTTCGCTATAAATTCCAGACAAAGCTGTATCATTTTAAGAGAGACAGTATATTATAATCACCTATCAAGTTTTAATTGTTGCTAAAGATCAGTCAGGAACAAATAACAGAGCAAGCAAAAGAGCAGTACTTTTTCAGCAGTCTTGCCAGGCTTCCCAGCAGTCTATAATGCCTCTCCACGTGTACAAGTCGAGCTATTTGAATGCAGCCAAAGAGCACAGAGGCCACATTACAATGTTAGCTGTTAGTGTGGCCAAGATTAGCTAACAAAGAAAAGAAAGTGAACCCTGGATCTTCTAGCCTGTGTAATATAATGTAAGTTTATAGAATATAAAGGTGACTTTACCTACAAATTCTTTGCAGGAACTTTAATGGTCTTCTAATCTAAACATTCCTTGCAGCCACATTGAGAATGCACACCTGTGGCTTACTTTTGTTTTTTGCAATCTTGTTTTCCTGGATATTTTCTCAAATTCACTGGCACATAAGAGACCCCACTGAAAATAAATCTTGGACGCAATATTTATTTCAATGCAAGTTGCTTATAGTCCTGTTGTACCATTAGCAGAGAATGCATAATTTTTTTAATAGCAAAATTCAATTTTCTAAAATATAGAAGTCTAAACAGATAAAGGTCTACAAACAGTGAAATTTGGTTCATTCATACTGTGAACATTCATGGTAATTCTTAATGGGAATATTTATATGTTACTAGATGAATGGCCAAGGATGCTACATGGGAGACCTAAATGGCTCAACAGGCAGAAAAATAGATGTAACCTCAGGGAAGAAAAGGTGGCTTACAACCTTCTGGACTTCATATTGAGTTCAACACCTTCAAATTGTGAACCCACTCTCATTCCTTCCTTTTCTTTTAGCTTTACTTGTTACATTCCCTGTCATGATGTCTTCTCTTCCCCTCCCCCCATCCCAGTAGCACTATCTCTTCTTTCCAGTCTGGCAGTTAGACACACCACTGCTCTGCCATTCTCACATTCCAATAACTTAATCTGAACTATCAACACTCGCCAGCACTCCACCTCCATCCTCCCTCCCCCCGCTCCCTCCATTGCACAAATGCTGCCCCCTCCACACTTTACGTCAGCTCTGATGAAGAGTCATCTAGACTCGAAACATTAGTTTGCTCTCTCTCCGTGCATGCTGCCTGACCTGCTGTGATTTCTAGCGTTTTTTGTTTTCAGTCAAGAGAAGGTGGTTATCGGAAGTCTGCTTCCTTTCCCCTCCAACTATGCTCCAAGTGTTTGAACACTACGCTAGATAAAAATTATTTCCTTTTAGCAACATTTGTCATTATCTGTTAAAAGTACCTGATGGATGTGCCAATGATCTGTACCCTGGTGGAGCCGACCTTATATTATTCATCTGTCCATTGTTGGGTCGTGATGGGAAGTTCTTTGAAGATATTGTTTCGGATACAACAGTACATTTGGGTTTTGGCACTCCAACTCTGTTTCCAGGTCGTCCAGTATCAGTGCTTGGATGCTGTCCAGAAATAGAAACGGAAGAATTTCCAGACTTTACCGATCCAGAACCAGCTACCCGTACTGATGTACTCATGCCTCTTGATTGCACAGACCCAGAGTTACTTGTATTGCTCTGTCTAGGAGGTCCAGATTTGCTTGTATTTTTAGGTCGCATGGAATCTGAGCCTCCCGTATTGCTGGGACGAGAAGCCCCAGAACTAACTGCACTGCTTGGTTTATGTTGGCCCAAATTGCTCAAACATGTTTGGTCTGAGCAGGCTGGTCGTTTTTGGCTTACGCTACTGGAACTTTTGGACCGTTCAGAAGCTGAGCCACTTGTGTTTTTGGAGTGCAATGCATTTGAACCACCTGTCCTTTCATGTTTTGTGGAGGAACCATCATTTTTCCTGGCTGAAGTGGACTGATCAGTTCTTTTCTGATTGTTTTTTGAAGACACTGCGGAAAGGGTTCCATTTGATCCAGGTTTCAATTGTTTACTCAGTGTTTGGGAGCTATTTCTAGATTTTGCTGAGCTGTCTAGTACAAGCTTTCCACCATTACTACTGGAATTTTTGGAAATAGAATGTCCAACTCCTACTGAAGACCTGGACATTTCCCGTGTAGGTGTTTTGTAAGACACTGAAGATGAAGGTTTTTCGCTTGATGCAGTTTTTGGCTTCTTGTTAACTCCATGAACAGATGATGTTGAGCTACTTTCTTTGAATAAATGAAGTTTCTCTCCTGGGTCTCGCACAGCTTTTATGCTTTTACTGTCTTTAGTTGAAGATTCTTTCTTGGATGAGCTAGTTGGATGTGATAAAGTGCCCTCTTTCTCAGATTTCTTTTTGTCATTTTGTTTTTGTCGTTTGCGCTCTAAAAATTCAATTTCTTTCAGTTCCTCTGCTGTGTACAGCTTCTCCTCCACTTTTTTCATTGGCTTTAGCTCTACTGGTTCAAACTGCTTTTTTTCAGCCAACTTCAGGAGATCTGTGAAGTTCATGGGTGCTGACGGTGGTTTCTTTGGAACTTTAGATTTTTTAGCCTCTCTGCACAATTGTTCTGGTTCCTTTGTAAATGTCTCAGGTTCTTTGCACAGTCTCTTTGGCTCCTTAGTTGATACCACAGGTTCTCTGTGTTGACGTTTAAGCCGTTTAACTGGTACCTCTGTGTGTTGCCGTTTAACTGGTCTCTCATCAAAATGTTCTTCAAACTCTTCAGAATCTTCTATTTCAGATAGTTCATCCTCACCCTGTGCTGCCTCATAGTAATAATCTTCTTCATTAGAGTCATCCATTCTTTGGTCCTTTAGCTCATCATCAGAAGTTTTCTTCTTGCTTTTCTGTTCCACAGGAGTACCATCATAGCCTCTGAAATTGTCCTTTGTACGGGTAGCCATTGCTCTCGCTTTACGATCATGTTTTAATGCAACTCGTTTTGCAAGCAGCTCCGCCTTTCTCCGTCTTTCTTCTAAATCTACATTAAAAATGATGAAAGATTTATAGTTGGCCCCTGAACAGCAAAGCACTAAGCACAGTAAGTTCACTAAAACTCTAATGCGCATATCGAATAAACCAGCTACAAATACCAGCATCGTAGCCATTTTAATTTTTTACTATAAAGCCTCACACATTGGTCTCAATTACTAGGGATGGTTATCCTTTGTCTAAGAATGAAAACACAAACACATACCAGAAGTATTCTTGTGGTTTTTCAAAAAGTAGTTTCTTGCCACCCAAAATCCTCTCATGCCCTGCCAGTGAGTTCCAATAACGTCATCATCGAGAAGTGCTGCTGCATAAATGCCCTATTTTAAATGCCGATCCATGATTTCAGGCTTAAATACTAGCCAACTCCAAGAAAACATGTCATAAATTGGGAATTTTTTTTTAATCCATCTAGCAATTTAATTGTTCAGAGTTCTACTGTTCCAATAGGACACTCAGGTTCAGCATAGCCCATTGTGTTAAGTGGCGTGAGCATCTTAAATGATTTGGTGGCATCTGTACTATTTCCTTATATAAAGGGGGAGCTCCATGAGCAAGAAGTATTTTCCTCACACTTTATCACTTCAGACCATAATGTTTTAAACATAAACCATTATTTTTGGTGTCAGTTACCATTCTGTGAAGCAAATTACCAAGAGATCCTACTAGATTAAGTGAATGGACAAAACTCTAGAAAAATCAAATTTCAATATAGACAAGTGTGAGGTCAACCACTTTGGACCCAAACAGGATACATCACAGTACAGAGGAAATGAACACAAGCAAGAAACTCTGCTTTTCCAGAGAAATTTAGAGGTCTCGGTATATATTGCTATCCTTTCAATTGAGCTCTCCAAGTCTGCAACCATTTGATTAAACTAAGTTAGTTTGAACAAGTGGTTATTCAAACAATGAAAGGGATTCCGCATCTTACAACAAGTAAATAATGGATAAGAAACCATAATAAAAAGATTGATTCTCAACCCTTTCACTGTATGCTTTTTAACAGGTCAGGTTTTTTTTAAGCTTACACACCTTCTAGGGTCAAATTTCAGATATTTGGCCTTGCAACTTGATTAGATCCATTTGACAAAAGAGAACTAACAGTTCTCACTAACTATTCTCACACTATAGCCTTGGATTTCTTGTGGGCCATTTGCATAAATCAGCTAAAATGGAAAGGAGTTTGGAATTTTCTTGCAGGCATACAAGGTGGTGACCTGATGTCAATGCAATTAATGATAGTATTAGATGCTGAAAGCTTTCAAAGTCACTGTTTAGGATCTAGAAAGCTGATAAGAGTTGAACTGCTGGCATTTTATTTTTGAAGAATATCTCACTTCTAAGATTGAAAATATAGGAACTCGTGTACGTCATTCAACCTGTCCACGACTCAATAAAATCATATCAGATCTGCATCGCAACTCCATTCACTCCATACTCCTCAATAGTCTTGCCTAACAAACAACAATCAGTGTTGGGATTTCCAATGGAGCTTTTTTTCAGGGAGGGCAGCAGCGGAGAGAACAGCTACAGAATTCTGTTTCCATTAATGCCTACATCGTCAGTGAACGACACAGCTCCTATGATATTACGCTACCTCGGTTCAGAATCCAGAACTAGAATAAATAATTTTTTTTTCTCTATTTACTGGCAAATCTTTTAATTATCTTAAGCATCCTAATTAGATCATTCCTTAATCTTATTTATTGAAGTGCCTACATAACTTCACATATCCTTTAATCACTTAATCTAAGTCAGTCACTCAGCCCTAATGATTCTAGTGACTTCCCTGCAGCATGCTTAAATTGCTGCATCTATAACTTCCTGATTTAATACTCCTATCCTCTTTAAATAATGGGGAGGGCCTTAGCTAGACATGCTATATTCTGGTTTAGGTAACTTAAATGTAGCAATCACCTCACTTGTCAGACTAAAGGGCTCTCCATTATCACTGCAGACTGTCATAACACAGCTTGGCTGCATGGCTGGTTTGTGACGCCAAGTGATGACAACAGCGCAAGTTCAATCCTTACACTGGCTGAGGTCACCATGAAGATCCTGTCTTCTCAACCTCACCAGAAGCCTGGTGACCGTCAGGTTAATCTCACCACCAATCGTCTGTAATGAGAGAGTGGCTCTATGGCCCTCAGGGCCTATGATGACTTAAGCTTCTCCTGGGCAATTGCCAGTAAAACTGGCATGAATCAGTACCCACAAGGGAAATGAGGAGGAAATATTATAGCTTGCATAGACAACACCCTTTTCTGTTTAACTATGATAAAATTATAAACTGTTTTGCTGCTTTGAATG